GAGTCCAGCCTGAGACCACATAGTGAGATCATGTAGCAAAATGGGCCTGGTGGTTCATGCCTGTAATACTAGCTACTTGGGAGGATCACAGTTCGCGGACAACACAAGTGAAAAGTTTGTGAGACCCCTATCTCAATCAATAAAAAACTGGGCATGGTGCCTGTTATGCCAGGAATATCTAGGTCCAGGCTGGTCCAGGCATAAATAGGATACCTTACTGGGAAAATAACTAAGACCAAAAAGGCTAGGGGCATGGTTCAAGTGGTAAAGTGCCTACCTAGCAATCACAAGGCCCTAAGTTTAAAACCCAGTACTACCAAAAAAAAAGAAAGAAAAGAAAAGGAAGCAGGGCACCAGGGTGGTTCATGCCTGTAATTCTAGCTACTCAAGATGCAGAGATCAGGACGATTGAGGTTCGAAGCCAGCCCAGGCAAATAGTTTTCGAGACCCTATCTTGAAAAATACCCAACACAAAACAGGGCTAGTGGAGTGGCTCAAGTGGTAGAAATGCCTGCCTAGAAAGTGTGAGTTCAAACCCCAGTGCTCAGTAAATTGTCAGATAGTTATATAAAGGGATTTATTCATGCAATAATTGTTATCAGCATGCCAAATGCTAGGGCCACAGGGTGGGCAAAATAGCAGCCCCTGCTCTGTGGAGCTTACAAACTAGTGGGTGCAGATTACATGAATAAAGAATTACAAATTGTAATCGAGGGGGAAAAGTCCAAAGAACTAGGAGAGCAAATAAGCAGCCGCACCTGATTTGGTCACTTTTTAACTCAGGTGAGGTGATTGCAAATGAAATACAATGCTTTCCTTCTCCTTAGTGATACCAGGACCCTTTGCCTATGCAACAGGCTGAACACTTGCAGAGGGCTTTTCCCAGTTGAGGTTTTCAGATGCACTTTACCCAGGTCCTCACCAGAGTTCTGACCCTCAATTTACAGAAGTGGAAACTAAGCTACAGAGAAGTTATTTAACTTCCTTAAGGTCACAGATTGCACAGATGGCAACGCAGAGGTCAGATGCCAAAGGTCAGGCTGGGAGTGAAGCTCAGTGATAGAGTACTTGCCTAGCATGTGTGTGTGTGCCCATGTTTGATCCCCAGCACACACACACACACACAAATCCAAAAGTCTTTTGCTTCTACATCTATTATTTTATCACTATATTGTTTTTTCTCTTTTATAAATTCTGAAATATAAGATACTTTTTTTCTTTTTCAAACGTGGATATATAACATTTAATTACAAAAAAGTGTAGTAAAATATGTTTGTGTGTTTTTTGTTTTGTTTGTGGTGCTGGGGATCAAATCTAGGATCTTGCATATGCTAAACACGCTCTCTACGACTGAGCTCCACCCCCAGCCCTGGATGATTTAAAGAACATCTGTGTGCCCATCAGCAGCCCAAGCAGAATTAAAGGGAGCCAGAAGCTCCCTATGTACCCCTTTCCAGAAATAACCCCTATGCTAAATGTTGTCCTCATTCTCTTACCTTTTAAAAAAATCTTTATCATCTAAGAATGTATCTTTTCACAATATATTATTGTTTTGCCTGGTGTTGAACTTTAATAAAAATACCATCTTAACTTGTGGATTTTCCTACAACTTGCCTCTTAACTTTGTTTTTGACATTATGCATATTGATGTTGCTTATATCTATAATTAATTTTCATAAATAAACAATACTCTATTGTGTGGTTATGATTATGCCACATTTATGCATTCTCCTATTAGCATTTCCAATTCTTTGCTTTTATAGTCATCCTGTTTGGCATCTGACCTCCTGTGTTGCCATCCATGCAACCTGTGACCTTTTTGGAAGATGAATGGTCTTTAAAAAACTTGTCAACATGTTAGAAGCTTTAGCTGGGCACCGGTGACTCACACCTATAATCCTAGCTACTCAGGAGGCAGCGATCAGGAGGATTGTGGTTTGAAGCCAGACCTGGCAAATAGTTCAAGAGACCCTATCTTGAAAAAAATCCATCACAAAAAAGTTCTGGTAGAGTGATTCAGGAGATAGGGCCTGAGTTCAAGCCCAGCACCGAAAAAAAAATGTTAGTAGTTTTATAAATTTAAAATTCAGTTCTGGCTGGGTGCCAGTGGCTCCCCAGGAGGATCATGGTTCAAAGCCAACCTAGGCAAATAGTTTGGAAGAAACTATCTCAAAAACACCCAACACACACACAAAAAAAGGGCTGGTGGAGTGACTCAAGTGGTAGAGCATCTGCCTAGCAAGTGTTGAGGCCCTGAGTTCAAACCCCAGTGCTGCAAAAAAAAAAAAAAAATCAGTTCTATATCCACATTAATAATATCATGTGATAATAGGTTCTCTTATTTTTAGTTTACCATCAGCTAAGTAATGTTTTAAGTATTACACACACTTTTTTTTTTTTAGTTCTTATAACATTCCTACTTGGTATTATTATTTTCAATTGAAGACCTATTTTACAAGTAATGAATCTGAGGTTCCACAAAGTCAGAGAGTTTGCCCAATGTCATTTGGAAAGTCAATACTGCAACACAATTTGATCTTAACATTCAAGTTTTAATTCATTCTATGCCTCAATACTGGATTAAAAATAGTAATAAGAAAAACAAATATAGCCAGACTCTCTCCTATGTAATTTTAAAATGTTTTTAGGGAGCTGGAGGTGTGTCTCAAGAAATGAGTGACTGCCTAGTAAGTCAGAGACCTGAGTTCAAACTCCAAAGCGGGAGGAAGGTGGGGGACACGACGACTTTGGGATGGGAGTGTCGCTGAAGTGGTAGAGCACCTGCCTAGCAAGCAAGAGGACTTGAGTTCAAATCCCAATATCATCCAAAATTTATATTTAAAATTGTGATAAAAGAGGCATAACATAAAATTTAGCATCTTAACCATTTTAAATATACAGGTCAGTAGTGTTAAATACGTTCACATCATTATACAATCTGTCTCCAGAACTGTACCTGTAGAAGAGTTCTGTGCTCTACAGGTGGAATTGCTAGGTATTGAGTTTGCACATGTTCAACTGTATTAAGACCAAACTCCTTAAGTCTCAAATGTTGTATATAAACTTTTCATGAGTTTTCTTGTTTCTCTTGACATTTACTATAGGCAGTATAACCTACTGATCTTTGGAGCAGATTGTCTGGATTCGAATTCCAGCTCCACTGTAAGCTGGCTGTGATCTTGAATAGGTCATTTAATCTTTCTGTACTTTACATTACTTGCCTGTAAAATGAAAGAACCGTAACTCATAAGTTTTATGAGAATTAAATTAGTTAATATACACAAAGCATTTAGAGCTATGCCTATTAGAACTGTGTAACTATTATCTCTAAAATTAGCAAAATGTTTCACATTCATTTCTACAGTGACAGTACCGTAATTATTTTTATTATTTTTTGTGGTGCTGTGAATTGAACCCAGGATCTCTCAGGAATGCTAGGCAAGTGCTCAACCACTGAGCTACATCCTCAGCCCCCAGATTTGTTTTAATCGTGGTTGGTAAACATTTAAACTATTACCAGTATGTTATCACAACCAGCACAGTAATAAATAAGGTACCCTTTCTCACACTAGTGATTAAATCTATAGGATAAAATCCTAGAATTGGAACTGCTGGGTCAAAAGTACTATGTGTAGTTGTAATTTTAATTGACATTGGCAAACTGCCCAACGTGGACATTACAAAGATTCATATATATATTAACTTAGAGAGATATGGAAACTTTCAATTAGATCTATTCTGTTGCACAGATGAATGAATTAGCAGAAAGGGAAAGTGACTCAAACAGGCTGAAATACAATCACTTGCAGGTGTCTGTGTAAGAGGCACTCAAGTTGCTTTTGCGGAAAAGCGCTGACTCCTTACTTGAGCCCACAAATTAACTAAAAACAGGAGAAGCTTGGCATCTCTGTCTTCATTTTGGATCTGTTTTTGCTCTAAGCCATTCTCTTTACAGTCACTTTACAATCACCTTGGATTCCAAAAAGGACAAAACTGATAATATCTTTATGACAATGAACTGGAGCCACCTGGAGCTGCCACCCTCCCAGTGAGGACAATTATCCCAAGAATCCTCTCAAACAGGAATCAGATTACTCCCTCCAGGTGATAACTTCCAAAACTGGACCAGACCATCTGCCTAAGATTGCAGGCTCAGCCAGTCATGAACCCACCAGACCACTTGCCTGACCAAGATTGTCCGCCCCACCAGTCTTGAGACCAACCAAACCACACCTGTGACTGGAACTGTTTAACTAGGCATGCCTTTGTCCCCTTGAAACACCCTGCCCCCAGTTCTTTTGTCTGTTTAAACCTATAGCTCATGTCTGTACCCCGAAAATGGCTGTAGATGAGCTGAGTGCGCTTACTCTGTTTCTTCCCATGGCATGTACCGAGCCTGTAATAAACCTCCTTTCTTTGCCTTCACCATCCCTCTTTATTTGACATTTAGGGGTGGGTGGCCGACCTGGCATATGGAATTTCAGGAGTTTGGGCCTTAGGTCCCAAAACTGTTTTCATCTGGACTTTAAATCCTAAAATTTCATTAAAGTCCACGTGAACGTTTCATTATATTAATGTTACAATTTGCTTTCTTACTGTAGTAACTTAATTTCTAATTTCTGGTTTTTTCCCTTGGGCTATTTTCCTACGCTGGATTGATTTCGCACGCTGTCAAGTGACCTTCATGAGGTTTGCTAAGTGACCTATCCTCCTTAGCTTGCAAGAATGCAGGACTTTGGTAAAGTGATCGGAGGGGAGCAGACTTCGGCCAGCCACTTCCAAGAGATCATTTAAATTACAAGGGGAGCAAACTAAAGCATGTGATGTTCTGCAATCTCACCAGGATCAGTTTTGCAAGCAGGCGGTTGATTTGCAGTGTATCTTTCGGGGTAAAGGAGCCCGCCTCCCAGTACAGAGTCGTCATTGGATAGTGTGGCTGTCAATCACTAGGTATATAAATAAGGGAAGCCGGCAGCCCCTCGCTCAGAAACGCACCGGTGTGGCGTGAGCTGCGCGAGCGTACCTGGGAGAAGCTGTCCGGGTAATATTTGACTGTTACTTCCAATTAACCTGAGTAGAAAATAAAAGGGCCTTCTCCCTTTCCCTGCCCTCCAGTCCCGGCGGGGCCGGCGCGATGGCGGAAGCCGCTGCGGGGAGCACCGGAGAGACGATGGCGGCGGAAGGCTCAGCCCCGGCGGGCTTGTCTCTGGGCCGGGGCTTCTCGAACTACCGGCCCTTCGAGCCCCAGACATTGGGCCTCAGCCCAAGCTGGCGACTGACGGGCTTCTCTGGCATGAAGGGCTGAGGCTGTAAGGTCCCCCAGGAGACTCTGCTCAAACTCCTGGAGGGACTGTCGCAGCCGGCCGTGCGGCCCCCGCTGGCCCCGGCCTTGGTCGGAGGCCTTGATGAGGCGGCCCAGGAAGCTGGCCTGCAAGCCGGAGCAGGCCCCGGCCCAGCCTTTCCAACCCTAAGCATTGGGATGGACTCCTGCGTCATCCCCCTGAGGCACGGGGGCCTGTCACTGGTGCAGACCACTGACTTCTTCTACCCCCTGGTGGAAGATCCATATATGATGGGGCGTATAGCATGTGCCAACGTTTTGAGTGATCTCTACGCCATGGGCATCACTGAATGTGACAACATGTTAATGTTACTCAGTGTCAGCCAGAGTATGAATGAGGAGGAACGAGAAAAGGTAACGCCACTCATGGTGAAAGGCTTTCGGGACGCTGCTGAGGAGGGAGGAACTACGGTGACAGGTGGCCAGACAGTGGTGAACCCTTGGATTATCATCGGCGGAGTTGCCACTGTGGTATGTCAGCCAAATGAATTCATCATGCCTGACAGTGCGGTTGTGGGGGATGTGCTGGTGTTAACCAAGCCCTTAGGAACCCAAGTTGCTGTCAATGCCCATCAATGGCTGGATAATCCTGAAAGGTGGAATAAGATAAAGATGGTGGTCTCCAGAGAAGAGGTAGAGCTGGCCTATCAGGAAGCCATGTTCAATATGGCTACCCTAAACAGAACTGCAGCTGGGTTAATGCACACATTTAATGCCCACGCAGCCACAGATATCACGGGCTTTGGCATTTTAGGACACTCTCAGAACCTGGCAAAACAACAAAGAAATGAAGTGTCCTTTGTCATCCATAACCTGCCAATCATTGCCAAGATGGTGGCTATCAGCAAGGCCAGCGGACGATATGGACTCCTTCAAGGAACCTCAGCTGAAACCTCTGGAGGATTACTGATTTGTCTGCCAAGAGAACAGGCGGCCCGCTTTTGTTCTGAAATCAAATCTTCCAAGTATGGAGAGGGTCACCAAGCATGGATTGTCGGCATTGTGGAAAAGGGAAACCGAACAGCCCGGATCATTGACAAGCCTCGAATTATTGAGGTTCTACCTCGTGGGGCCACTGCTGCTGCTGTTGCTCCTGATAATTCCAACACCTCTGAGTCTAACTCGTGAAATGGAATAAACAGAAGTTGTTGGGGACTTAGAGCCTTTGTACAAAATCATGGAGGAGTCCCAAGAGTTGATTGTAAGAATTGTCCAAAGAAGGCTGCCTGCATAGTGGTTCCAGCTACCCTTCTAGGTAATCAGATTCTGGTCATCAAAAGCTGCCTGTCTCTACATTCCAAGACCAGAAGTAACATTTTGAACTCTGATGAGGACATGTGTTCATCTCTTGGGAAGGTGAGGAGCAGAAAAAACTTGTTTGCTCTTTCCAAAGCAAGATGAGGCTGTTCCAGTTTGAGGGATTTGTCTTTGCACTGGATTGATTCATTTCTGCACAGGGAGTGAGATTATTCAGTTTACATACCTAAAAAGTAAATTACAATGGAAAAAAAATTAGAAGCAAATGGGTTTGAACCAATGCTATTGATAAATCTGAATTATTAGAAAGATCCTACAACGAAATGTCAAATTCTTTAGTAAACTTCTCTGAGAAAATGGCTCTTTCCAGCTCTGGACAAGAGTTGAGCAGCTTGTCCAATGACTGGGAAAGGAGGACCTGCAACCATCTGACTTGGTCTCTGTTAATGATGTCTCTCCCTCTAAACCTCTGTAAGGACTGGGAGAGGCAGAACAAACCCCAGAGCCCAGGCCTTGGTGGTCATTAAGATGTTAACTCTTGTGCTGAAAATTCCTGGTGATTTAATTAATAACAAAGAATAATTTTGTGAGTTAAATAAAAGGGATTTTGTTGGAAAAGTCTTCTGGCTACTGTTTGGTTCTTTGGAATTCTGACTGTTGATACATTTAGATTCTGGTAAAGTGAAAAGTGAATATTTTTCCTGATCCTGGGCCAGGGAATTTGATACCCAGATTTAGGTTTGTACCTTTTCCGGGATGACAAAAGAGGACTCAGAAGGGTGTAAACTTCAGAAAGTAGAGAGTGGGAAAGAAAATACCAAAAAGAAAGGTGTCAACAATTCTTGGAAGATGGGATGGCAGTGGAAGAGGAGTAACTTGAAGAATAGAAACCATCAAAGAGTAGGGGGATACAAGCTGTTTAAAACACATTAGTAGCGTCTTTCTGGAGGTACTTAGCCAGGTGGGAAGGAGGGGTAGGAATGAAAGCATTGATTGAAAGTTTATACACAGGGTAATTAATTAGATCTTTATATGCCTTAAACCCCTCCTCTACTTCACAGCCAGGTGACTGCCTTTCACTTCTGCCTGGGAAAGGCACAGTCAGCAACACCAGGCACAGCACAGGACAGGGAGCCTGACTGAAAACAGAAGAGTAAAATCAGAACAATGAGAGTCCCCAGCCCCCTTCCTCAGCTTAGCCATTAAAAACTTAGCCAAGGTAGACTCAAGTTATAGCTCAGTGGCAGAGCACTTGCCTACCATGCACAAGGTCTTGAGGAAAATAAATTTAAAAATAAAAACCCTGGCCAACGAGCTAGGGGCGTAGCACAGTGATAGAATAGTGTGATTAGTATGGACAAGGCCCTGAGTTCAAACTCTAGTGCCAGAAAAGAGACAGTAACTCTGGCCAAGAAGCTTTATACCATTGCCGGTGTGGCATAAGTGACAGATTAAATAATACTCTGGAGAAAATTACCATGCCCAGAAAAAAAAGATGTATAAATATAAATACTTAAGGACTTACAGTGAAAATCACTGTAGTATGAATACTCCCAGTTAAAAAGCTTCATTCAACATTCTCTCTCTCTCTCTCTCTCTCTCTCTCTCTCTCTCACACACACACACACACACACACACACAGAGTCTTGCTCTGTATCCCAGGTTGACTGAACTTTCAGTCCTCCTGTCTCAGCCTTCCCTAGTGTTAGGATTAAAGGTGTGTATCACCACATTGTAAGCTTTTTAATGTCTTATTTTTAAATATAACCAAGCAAGGATGCTAGACATTTGAGGCAAGCTCCCAATTTGAAACAAAAAGAGAAAGAGACAAGATAGGTAGTAGGTATGTGGCTCATACCTATAATCCTAGCTACCTGGGAGGCTGAGATTAGGAGGATTGAAGTTCAAGGCCCACCAAGGAAATACTTTATGAGACCCCATGTCCAACATAACCAGAGCAAAATAAACTGGAGATATGGTTCAAGCTATAGAATGCCTGCTTTGCAAGTGCAAAGCCTGAGTTCAAACCCCAGTTCTACCCAAAAAAAAAAGCCACAAAATGATGATTATAAGAGAATAAATACACTTAGAATATAGAAAGGCAAAATTTTAAAATTCAGTAAGAGTCAAAAGATAAAGCTGAGGAAGTTTATCAGTAGAATAAGAAGACAAAAAGGTGTGAAACTCAGAGCTCTGAGAGCCAGGAGGTTCAACATCGAAGGAGTTCCCAAAAGGTAATAAAGCAGATGGAGGAAATTTATCAAAGAATAAAACAAGTTTTCTAAAACTTAAAAAGTTAGCAGACACAGGTGGCTCAAAAAGGGCCAGTGGAGTAGCTCAAGGTGTAGGCCCTGAGTTCAAATGTCAGTACCTAAACAAACAAAAACTTAACAAGTTCTAAGTCAGGACTGGTGAAGTGGCTCAAGCAGCAGAGCGCCTGCCTAGCAAGTGTGAGGCCCAGAGTTCAAACCCCAGTGCCATCAAAAAACAAAAACAAAAAAGTTGTAAGTCACATACCTCTTGAATTCTTAACATAGGGAATCTTAAAAGACTAATTGTACTAAACTTTAAAATGCCACTTACAAAGACACCCTATTAACAATAACAGCAAATGAGCTGGGTGCTGGTGGCTCACACCTATAATCCTAGATAGTCAGGAGGCAGAGATCAGGAGGATCATGGTTCATAGCCAGCCCGGGCAAATACTTCAAGAGACCCTATCTTGAAAAAACCCATCACAAACAAAAAATAGGGCTGATGGAGTGGCTCAAGGTGAAGGCCCTGAGTTTAAGCCCCAGTACCACAAAAAAAAATTATTTCATCCAATGCACTCTTCTCAGGAAACCACTTCAAGGGCTGGGAATGTGCCTCATTATTGGGGCACTTGCCTAGCAAAACAAGGCATCAAACGGAAAAACACAGGACTCAGGAAATGGGACCCAGCACAGGAGAGAGACGAAAGTAATAGCTGTATAGCAGGCTTGGAGAGCAACCATGGCACACTGCCTCGAAGGCTTTTGGGGAGAGGTGCAGAAAGGAATTGATAGAGTATTGGTACATTAAATTGTGGGAAAATTATAGTGGAAGAATAATAATAAAAAGAATTAGTGCTGGGCACAGTGGTTCATGCCTATAATCCCAGCTACTCAGAAAGCCAAGATTGGGAGGAGAGAGCCTTGAAGCAAATGTGGGCAAAAAGTTATCAATAACCCATCTCAATTAATAAGCTTCACATGGTGGTGTATGCCTGTGATCCCAGCTATGTGGAATACATAAATAGGAGGATCAAGGTCCTTGGCAGCCTGGGCAAAAACAGGTGACACTATTGGAAAAATAACTAAAGCTGCTGGTGGCTCAGGCCTGTAATCCTAGCTACTCAGGAGGCAGTGATCAGGATGATCACAGTTCAAAGCTAGCTCGGGCAAATAGTTCTCAAGACTCTATCCTGAAAAAACCCTTTACAGAAAAGGGCTGGTGGAGTGGCTCAAGGTGTAGGCCCTGAGTTAAAACCCCAGTACTGAAAAAAAAAAAAAAAAAAAAAAGAATTAGTGATAGATAGTCATATAGAAAACCAGCAAATGAAACAAAACAAAACAAAACAAAAAGAACAAAACATGAAGCAGCCCAGCCCAGCCAAAAACAACCTTGTAGAATAAATGAAATAGAGCCACACTACAGCATTCAATAATGAATATTTGCATAGTCAATATATATGCTATTTAACATCAAGAACAAAAACTAAGAAAGTAAATTCAGCTTTTCTCCTGCTCAAAGCTCTGAAGTGGCTTTCTACAAAATTCTGCATATTCTCACCAGTTACAGATCTCCAGCTTCATCTCAGGGCACTTGACCTTTCTCATGAAGCTCTAGCCCATTAGCTTTTACATGGACTTCAAGGAATCAAGATCCTCTTGTGTTTCCCTCTGTCCACTTGACTAGCATGTGTGAGGCCCAGCCCTGGGTTTGATCCCCAGCGCTACAAAAACAAAAACAACAAAAAATTGATAGTAATAAAATGTTTTAAAAACCTGACTTCTCAGTCAACACCCAGCTGCTCTCCAACTCTATTCTTTTGAGGATAGATTAATCTACTTTAAAATTGTCTCCCTGGTATTTGAACTCCAAGAGGGCAGGGATGCGTCTATCCCCAGCACCTAGAACAGTACCTGCTCCATAGCTGGTGCTCAGAAGAAGGGAGTGGAGTGGACATTGGAGACTCTTAATGTCTTCTTTTTTCACACTTTCCTGGTTCTTGGTGTCTCCTAGTGGTGGAAGTTGAGACAAGGCTTTGGAAAGGAAATTCAGACCTGGGGCCTGGCTGCCCACTTAAATGGCTCTCCGAGCTGAGGTGGGCACTAGAAAGAGGAGGGAAATGGTTGGCTATTTCCCTGGCCTGGTGCTCTTAGTTAACCCAAGAAGGGTTAAAGATTGCCAGCAAGGTAGGCACCGCAGCCTTCCTTTGGAGGGGTTGGGCAGCAAAATGGAAGTCACAAATAGTGGTGGTAACAGGACCTTGGAAATTAGAATCATAGGGACAAACAGAGGTAGAGAAGACAATGGAGGAAAAAGGAGAGGAGAGGGAAAAAAAAAAAGGACAGTCCCTCGTGGTTGTGCATACCTGTGATGCAGTATTCAGGAGTCTGAGGCAGGAGGATCTTGAGTTTGAGGTCAGCCTAAGCTTCATAGAAAGATCCTGCTTCAAAAAAAAAAAAAAAAAGAGTGGTGGAGTTTAACCAAAGAAAAGAGACAGAAGGACAGAAGGGAGAGGGGCAAAGTGCTCTCAGCACAGGAGAGCTGCTGCCTCCTTTCCGCCCTCACAAAAAAAAACCACTGGGGAGACTTCCTTCATTTGTGGAGAACATTGCTGCAGGCGTACTGCTGAGCTTCAGCCTTTGCCTTTTGGGATGACCTTGAACGAGTCTCCTGGCCTTTGGGCCTCAGTTTCCTTATCTACATACCCACCTATGGCAGAGAAGTCATGGAGGGGACCCCTTGAGATGTGTCCCTATGAATTGCTACTTATTAGATACACTGAATACTTATGGGAACAAAAGCCTGACACTACTAGTCCCCAAGAGACCCCAGTGTCAGGGGAGATCTAGGACAGAAACACTAAATGTCCCAAAATTAGGGTGAAAAGTAGTGTCAAGAACTAGAGTGGATGAAGAGCTAAAAGGCGAAATTATTTCCTTTTGGGGGAAGTTTAGGAAGGCTTCCCAGAGGAGGTGGCCATAAAGTAGGGCTCTGCAGGATGGCTGGAATTGAGTTTGAATGTACAGAGAGGGGGATGGGCATTCCAGGTAGAGGGAGCAAAGGCAAGAAGGGGGGAAGGTGGGAACATCTGACTGGATGTTAGCATGTATGTGAAGGGATGAGGCTGGAAATACAGATTTGGGAGTGACCTCCGAGGGTGTTGGGAACTCCCTGGCCTGAATAGGTTAGGCAAGAATTTCCTAAAAGCTCCCACCCCAGGTCCTACTACAAAGGCAGTCTCAGATAGTGTCTACTCCTTCTCATCAGCCTCCGAGGACCATCTGATCTTTGAACCCTAGAAGTTGGTCCCTTATTATTCCAAAATCTGAGCTACAGAGGATTCCTGAGAAGGCTACTTGGGCTTGAACTCAGGGATTTGCACTTGCAAAGGAGGCACTCTACTGCTAGAGCCATACCTCCAGTGCAGAAAGGCTACTCTCTGAGTGGTGTTTTATAGTCCATATTCCAGTACAGGAGTTAGGGTTCTTGTCTGGAGAAGCCCAACAAACGCCAGGGAAGATGCTGGGGACACCTGAATCTTTCAACTCCCAAATCCATAAAGTAGCCCCATGAGCCTAAACACTAAACCTGTGTGCCACTTGCCCACAGGATAGTACCTGGATAGCCTAGAACCACCTTGAACTCAACATGTCTCAACCTGAATTCTTTATCTTCCCTCTCACCCCAACTCCCAAGTCTTCTATGTCTTCATTTCAGCAAAACAGCAAAACTACCCATCCACTTACTCAAACCAGAAATCAAGGAGTGTGGCTCAAGTGGTAGAGCACTTGTCTAGCATACACATCACAAAAAAGAACTGGCAGAGTGGCTCAAGTGGCAGAGTGCCTGCTTAGCAAGCGTGAGGACATGAGTTCAAACTCCAGTGCTGCCAAGAAAAAAAGAAAGAAAAAACAGACAAAGAACCTTTCCAGAGGTTTCCAACAGCCTTCGTCTAATTTCTCATTGTGAAGAACTAAGTTACATGTTCACCCATAAACAATGGATGGTCAGCTCAATGAGCCCACCAATCACATGGGAGATCGGGGCAAGGGTAGAACAAAATCACAAAGTGGAGGAGGGAAAAAGGACAAGTAAGGAGGTTAACCCACAGCACTCAGTACTTACCACATCTTTCCTGACCACGCGATCTAAAGATGACCCAAACACTTCTCATGTGCTGAGGCTCTCGTGCATGCTAAGCAGGTGCCCTACTACCAATTTTTTCCACCACAGTATTTATTACTATTTCAGGCATTATAGCCAATAACACACTCTGAAGCCAAACTGCCTGGATTTAAAACCTGGCTTTACCACTTTACTAGCTGTTAGGTTGCTTAACCCTTCGGTTTTTCTACCTGTGAAATAGGGATGACTGTAATATTACCAACCTCAAAGTGTTGTTGTGAAGAATAAATATGCAAAATGCTTAAATCAGCTACACTGCTCCAGTTCATTCTTGAAGTCCAGCTGTATCCTGAAGACACTCTTGTTTTTTTTGTATTTGTTTTGGTTTTTTTTTTTTTTTGGAGGGGGGATTGGAGATTGAATTCAGGACCTCAGGGCACTCTACCACTTGAGCCACACTCCCAGCCCTTTCTTTTTGCTTTAGTTTATTTTTCAGATAGGATCTACAGCTTTTGTCCAGTAGATGGGATTACAGGTATTCACCACCATGCCCTGCCCCCACTTTTGTATTCTTACAAATTCCCTTTTCTTATTTAAACCTGTTCAAACTTGTCTTTGCTGCTGGCACTCAATTTCAACTGCTAGTAATATTCATTGTATAATTATCCCTTAATGTATACATTCTTCTGTCCACGACTATTTATTTTCAAATTTTCAATATTAGAAATAAAATTGTATTAAATTTCTTGTAGATACTTCTCTTTATATGTATGCACTCATTTCTCTAGGAAATATACCTGCACCTGAAAATGGAATTGCCATATCTTGGGGACTTATTTATGTTTTACTTTCTGGGATTGAAGGAGAGTCCTACATGCTAAACATTTGTTCTACCATTGAGCTTAATTCCAAAAATCGGACTCTGCATTTCCTTCTCGTTCTTATTCTTTCATTTCCACCAAACTTCAAGCCTCTTAAAACACACGGAGAACAGAGTGACCTTAATAGGAATGCAACAATAATCGTCTAAAAAAATCAAACTTGTTCTTGGGTTTAACAAAGATCTCTGTCTTCCCACGGTCGATAACTCAGTGGTTCTCAGAGTTGGAAGTAACAACTTCATGATTCACCACCTCATAAATTCTCCAGTGTAAGTGAGCTTGGTGTTCTTATGTGTGCTCTGTAGAGTCGTGACAGAGACCCACGGGGCTGAACACAGATAGGCCGGCCTAACGCCGACCTCTTATTTCAGTGTCACGTACTCTACGTGGAGGGAAGAAGGACCCACCGATCCTTTTCCCTAGGAACAGGGATGAGGGGTTAACTCCTTCCAACACGCTGGGCCAGGGAGCTAAAGTAGGACACAAAGCCTGGATCCCAGTCCGCTCTGTCCTCTTTATTCTTTCAATCTCATCCAAATGGTGGGCGGGCTGATCTGAGTTTTCTCTTACTATCTAGGAGTAAGGGACTTTATTTTTAGGATTTTTTTCCATCCAGCGGACACTCCTACCTCCCGCCTGCCACTGGGCTTTGCCGCCATCTGGTGTCCCCAAGACAAGTGACACGCCTGCGTTCTCTTCGCCCTCTGCCCCTCTGCCTTTAAGACGTTTGGTTTAGACGGAAGAACTGGAGAGGCGCACGCTTGAACTTCCCTCAGATTGGACTAGTCCGAACAAGGGGCGGGCTGTAGCAAAAATACCCACAGATGATTGGCTTTTGCTTTGGTTCCGCCCCGTGAAGCAACCGAGAACGCCCGTGATTGGCTAGGGGCTCTGGAGGCGGGCTCCGATCGTGGCGCGGGTTTAGTGCAGTAGCGGCTGCACCCGAGTGAGCGGTATGTCCTGTGCTGGTGGCGATGCGAGTGGGGAAAGAAAGGAAGCAGGCACTGCTGCTGCCGGCTCCTTCAGCTTCAGCCCAGAGCCCACGCTCGAGGACATGTAAGCAGTCCTTGTCCAGCCTGGGATGGAGAGGTTGATCCCTTTCCTTTATTGGGGAGGGTCCCTCCACGTGGTCCTTCTAAACCTCTTGGTCTGTAAAATGAGCGCAGAGGTGCACAGCTGAAGCCGGGGGATAGGTGATCCCCATGAGTAGGTTAGGACTCATGGTCCAGCCTGGGGGGGAATATTGGAGTCTAAAATTACCTTTGTCCTCAGGGGCAGCTAGTGCTGACATTTGGAGACATTTCTTGCTGAGGAAATCAAGAAAGGCTTCTTAGGGAAGTAGCCGTAGAGCTGCATTCTGTAAGATAAGCTGGACACGATGTGCAGAGGCTACCGCATCATTAGCAGCCGAAGATGGAATAATAAACAGTATTGTTAGGGCTGGCTTGAGGTTAAAGTCTGCAGGGTTGCGTCCATTTCCAGATGAGCCCACCTCTGGCCATCCAAAGAACTAGTTGCAGAATCCCCTGGTCCCACGTCCATGTATTGCTTTACATGTTATTGCTGGGGTACCTGCCTGGGCCCTGCATCTCCTCTCCCACCCCTAGCCCTGAGACTTGGGTTTCCACCCCTTTATCCTATTCCAGCCGACGTCTCCATGCAGAGTTTGCTGCTGAACGGGACTGGGACCAGTTCCACCAGCCTCGGAATCTCCTCCTGGCCTTGGTGGGGGAAGTGGGAGAGCTGGCAGAACTCTTGTGAGTAGATTGAAGGCTTCCTGGAAGAGGCTGTGTGTTGTGGGAGGGCAACATTTATTTCACTCTCAGGTATTCATGGGTTCATCTTCACTACTCATTGCCTGGCTCTGTGCCTGATGTTGGGGATACAAGGATAACTAACTTGTCCAAGTCCTGGGAGAGAAAGCTTGAAAAGAGTAAGACAGAGCAGGTCTAAGAGAGAGTGGTACATTAGGCCTTTACCTTACCTCTGTCTCTGGGGCTGAAAAGAAAGTATTCTGAACTGAACAAGTCCTAATGGCTTTCCAGACAGGGAAAGCTACATTTGCAGAGGCAGTGAGGTGAGAAAGGGCAAGTTAAATTCAGGGAGAATGTGATACTCCTTCCACATCAGCTTCCTGAGGAAGACTGGGGCTTTAGCATTAGTTTTATTCCCTGGGTGCTCAGTAGATATCTAGAGGATAAGTGATGGGACTCTGAAGGAGAGGGGTGGGAAGTAAACCCAAAAGGTAGGATTGGGTTTTGGGGCTAGAGTGCTGGAGTTTGGGCAGACCTGACCAGATTCAAATGGTAGAGAGGTCACTATGTCTGCTGGGTGGATTGACTCACTGAGAGGATGGGGCAGGAGACCGGTGAGGAGGCTGGTGTAGATCAAGCAACAGGTGGTGAAGGCTAGACCAGGCATTCACCACTGGGATGAAGAAAAGAGATGACCAAAGATGTGTGAGAGCAGGCCATTATTATAGATCAGTTAGCATCTGCTGTGTGTTAGGTCTTCTAGAATCAAGAGATACAGCCTTGAACAAGGCAGACCTGGTTCCCAGTGGCAGAAAACTGAGTATACAAAGTAAACCAGCATCCTTATTTGTGTTGTTAAGGGTTTCCATATGTAGCCCAGGCTGGTCTTGAACTTGTGATTCTCCTGCCCAAGCCTCCCGTGTGCTGAGATTACAGGTATGAACCACTATTTCTGGTCAAAGTAAACATGTAAACATGAGAGTTTGTGAGGAAAGTAACACATGAGAAAGTAACAGAAGGAAGGCTTTCTGAGGAGGTGACATCTGAGCTGAGACCTGAATAACAGGAAGGAGCCAGCCCTGGGAAAAAACCTAGGGGAAGTATGGGGGAGGAAGCATTCAAGACCAGGAGCGGTACTTACTGCAAGCCCTGTGACAGTCTGACTTGTTTGTAAGGCAGAAAATCGCAGTGGATTTCAGTGGGGAATGAGAAATATAGTGGCTAAAGAGAAGATGAGCTAGCAGAGAGATGAATTAGAAGGTGTCTGTGGTGAGTAGGTCTGAGGTTTTGACAAGAGTGCCAGTGGCTAGGGAAAAAAAAAAATTGTGCCCCAAAGCTTTGTCCAGCAAATGCAGCACTCTCTTGGCCACTCCTTGGCTTGGGTAGAGGCACAAGAGGTCTAGCTAGCTATAAGCTGGTGGGGACCTCTTCCCCACCTTGACTCTTTACAGGGCCCAGATGGTTGGGTTGTCCTTGGAGGAACTTCTGGGAGGCAGGAGTTGATTCCTGCGGGAGATGTAACCCATTGTCCTTGCTAGCAGCTATGTGTGCCTGTCATGTTCTGTCCCCAGTCAGTGGAAGTCTGATTCGGAGCCTGGCCCCCAAGCCTGGCCCCCGAGGGAACGGGCAGCCCTTCAAGAGGAGCTTAGTGACGTCCTCATCTACCTGGTGGCATTAGCAGCCCGCTGCCATGTGGATCTGCCCCAAGCAGTGCTCTCCAAAATGGACACCAACCGGAGACGTTACCCAGTCCATCTGTCCCGTGGCTCTGCCCGAAAGTATACAGACTTGCTTCATGGTGCCATTTCTGAAGACCAGGTTGCAGACACTGCTTGTGAGTCTACCAGCCAGGCCTCAACCTAGAGACATAACACCAGGACCTGCAACTCAGCATGGCATCTGAAGAGCAAAGGGAACCTGGTCATAGTCCTTTCCTAACAAACCATGAGTTGGAGGCCCAGGAGCCTGCAGAAGATGGCCTCCTCGTGTTTTCTCTCCCAATAAAACGGTTATGAGCAACAACTTCTAGATTCTTCCTAGGTGACCAGGGAAGCCTCTGAACCTAGACCCCTCCTACCTGCAGGTTACAGTCCAGTTTCTAGCAAATTCCCAGTAGAATGTCACGTGAGTCTCCCTCTCTCCTGGACCTGTAAGGAGGCTGGAGGCCGCATGCAGGGTGAGTTATGAGTCCAGATGCCACACCAGGCTGTGGGGTTCAGACACTTTAAGAGCTATATGTGGTATTTATCAAACTACTTCGTCTTTATTATTGCCAACCTCTTCTGTGGAGTAAAAATAGTAACACCTACCTGATGGAGTCGTAAAGTGAGCTAAGAGTTTTGGGGAGCCAGGCGCTAGTACCTCACACTGTAATCCTAGCTACTTAGGAGTCAAAGATCAGGATTGTGGTTTGAAGCCAGCCCAGGCAAATAGTTTGAGAGACTCTATTTTGAAAAACTCCATCACAAGAGCTGGTGAAGTGGCTCAAGGTATAGGCCCTGAGTTCAAGCCCCAGCACAACACACAAAAAAAAGGATAATCTTTGGCACAGACAAGTATTGGTAAGTTTGTAGTTATCTGTTTGCCTTTTCAACTTAAAACTTGAGGGCTGCAGAACAGGGCTTCCTCCTTTTGGGCCCCTTGGTAAATGTCAAGATCACCTATCTCCCTCACCAGGGCCTTTCTTGTTCTTCCTCCCCAACTAGGCAGTGTTAAGTGCGTACAATGTATTTACCCACCGTGTGACCTTGGGCACATCACTCCTTGTCTGGGACACCTACGTCTTGCAACCCTCATGGAGAAGGGTAATGCAGAGAAAAGGACCTTTAAATGACTTTTGGGATTTACAGTGATCACTGATTTCTGCCTCCTTCAGTCTATTGCCACATCAGTTAAATAAGCCATTCCCCTTTACTGGCCTCACTCTCTTACCTTCCTTATCCAGTGACCCTCTTCGTTCCCAGACAAAACAGAATCCATCAAATTGGAACTGCTTCCACTTTCTGTCCCCACACCCACCTTTGTTGTCTCCTGTGATAACATACCTGATTTTATTTCTTCTCCTTTATTATCTTTCCCTTCTATATAATTAACTTTTTATTGCAGTGCTGGGGATTGAACTCTAAGCTTCATACATTGCTAGGCAAGTGCTCTACTGCTGAGCCACATATAAACTTGGTTTTTTCCACCAGTACTGGGAGTTGAACTCAGGGCCTTATACTTGCTGGGCAGGCATTCTACCATTTGAACCACTCCACTGGCTGCTAAAACTTTTTAAAAGTGGTTTTCAGAAATAGTGTTGATTTGAATTTACTCTGCTCTTACAGGAAGTGTCAGTGTCCTTTTTTGTTGTTTAGAGGTGGGTTCTGAATATGTTATTCAGGCTGACCTGGAACTCTTGGGTTCAAGTGATTGTTCCTGCCTCAGTCTCCTTAGTAACTGGGACTGTGGGTACACACCACAGGTAGGAACCACTATCTGGTTCATACCTGTAGTCCCAGCACTTGAGAGGCAGGCAGGAGGATGTAGAGTTTGAGGCCTGCCTGGACTACATAGTGAGATCCAGATATGCACCACCATACTCAGTGAATCTTTTTCACTAGCCCTTCCCAACAGTGCATAAAGCATATCTGTGTCTCTTCCCTTTTTACCAAACCAAACCTCCATCTACTTTTCACATTTCACAACAGCTTACAGAAAGGGTTTACTCACCCACTCTGCTCCCTCATCCTACTGTTTAGCCTGCCCCACTCCAGGCTGGGTCTCCTCACACTCCCACTGAAGCTATTCTCAGCGCTTCCCCCACTCTGACCCCTTACTCATGAGAAAAGGGCATCAGAGTAGCATCCCACAGCTGGCCACTCTCTCCTTCATCTAACACTTTTCTCCAGACTCCCCAGACAAGACCCTTCTGGTTTTCTTACAGCCGCCTCTTGAGTACCCTCTTCTGGACAGGGTGTCACTGAGTCCCAACCTTGTGCTGTTATTCCCAGTCATCTACCCAACCCTTTCACATTTACCTCACATGTCCAGACTGGGTGTAACTACTGCCTCCACTTTTGCTACTATGCAGCACCCTATCTCAGTGATGCCTCTAGTCACCCAAACTAAGGAAAGAAGTCAGTTCTATGTCTCCTTTCCCTCAACTAGCTTCTCTGAATTCTAGCTCATTCTTTGAGGATGTCAGATCCATCCTTCCCCATTGATCCCTCCAGAATGCTTTGCTGCTTTAGCTCTAGCTGGGCTTCCAAGCTCCTTCTCAAGGTCTGTCTCCTATCAGCCTCCATGCTGTTTGTTCCCACACTCCATCCCAGATGTCTGCAAGCTGTGAGAGCCTAGCATGCTCTAGGGGCTCTCCATGCTTTCCTAACCCCAACTTACTGACCTTCAAGGCCCAACTTAAACATTCCTTCTGACAAAGGGCTCTAAACTCCGAAGCTTAATTTCCCCCCACCTCCAATCACAGTTCCAGGGAGAGTACTGGGCTGCAATTGCCTGTTTGAATCCAAAGTCCAGTATCACCAAAAAAAAAAGACCATAAACTAAATGCTTATGTAATGAAGCACTCACTGAAATCATCGTAAAGCTCCTCTCCACTGTACTGTCCTCCAAAGTTCTGCAGAACGCAGTACCATTTGGTTATGAACTTTGCTCTATTTATGAGTCCTTTCATCTGAGGCTATGAGACATAACCAAAGGTTAAGCAAGTGTGGATTGATACCTAACCCCAAACACAATTCCTATAAGCTTTAGGCTTATAGCCCCGCTTGGCTCCATGACAACTCGCCACCTAGGCTTGGAGAACATCCCAACCCCTCCCCCCCGCCCCCCACTCAGGCACCGGTGGGTGAGGATATTAATACTTTATTCACTAGCACGGGCCAGGGGAATGTAGTGGGGGGAGTAGAGTACTCGTCTCCCAGTCCCAGAGCAGCCAGGCATGACTTCCCACCCTTTCCCAGACCCGAGTGCAGGAGCGAGGAAGGAGCCATCCAGGCTGATACAGCCGGGTCGGAGTCCCAACCTACCCCTCCCCGGCCGGATGCTCCCAGCCCCACGGGGTTCAGCTGCCCTCGCACTCCGGGCAGCGCTCGGTGGGGGTGGCGGCTGTGGCACTTGCGGGCAGCTTGAAGTCCCGGCCACAGCCGACACAGATGTAGAGGCGGCGCCGCATGTGCGCGCGACGGTGGCGGATGAAATGCGAGCTGAGGCGGAAGCGGCGGCCGCACTCCGCGCACGGGTAGGGCCGCTCGCCTGTGTGCGTACGCGCATGCTCCGCCAGATTAGAGCGGTGGCCGAAGCGCCGGCCGCACACAGCGCAGCGGTGCGGCTTCTCGCCCGTGTGCACGCGCCGGTGCTTGGCCAACGCCGAGCTCTGTGCGAAGCGCGTGCCGCAGTCGGAGCATGCGTACGGCCGCTCGCCCGTGTGCGTGCGTCGGTGGCGCGCCAGGCACGAACTTCCGCCGAAGGCTCGTCCGCAGTCCGGGCACGCGTACGGCTTCTCGCCTGTGTGCACGCGCAGATGTTGTGCGTAATTAGAGCTTTGCGCGAAGCGCCGGCCGCAGTGTGCGCATGCGTACGGCTTCTCACCAGTGTGACGCCGTCGGTGCTGCCGCAGGTTCGAGGCGGCGGAGAAACGCTTGTCACACTCGGGGCACTGGTAGGGCCGCTCGCCTGTGTGTGTGCGGCCGTGTTTTGTCAGCGCTGACTTCTGCGAGAAGCACCGGCCGCACTCGGTGCACGCGAAGGGCCGCTCGCCCGTGTGCGTGCGTGCGTGTTTGGCCAGCGTGGAGCGGCGTGCAAAGGCACGGCCGCAGTCCGGACACGCGTGGGGGCGCGCCGGGTCGGCCGACTGAGCTGGCATCTCGGTGGGGACCTGCGGAGGAGAGGAGGGACAAGTCAGCCCTGACCGACGAACCCTTGAGCCAGAGAGCTGAGTCTCCGCATACTGTAACCTTTTGGAGCCTCAGTTTCCCGTCAGCGAAATAAAAAGCGCTAAGGCACCTGCCAGAGTGGTTGTGCGCCTTAAATGAGAACACGTTAACACACATGTCACAATGCCTAATGGCACTCTAGTTTGGCGGCATTGGCGTTTGACACTTGCCTGACACTTGCTAGGCAGGCACTACCACTTGAGTCACTTTGCCAGTCCTATTCTTACTAATTCAGAAAATACTGGGCACTTGCAGTGTCCCTAAGTCTAGGCACTGGGGATTCAGCATTAAATAAAAAGCATCTTAAAAGTTCCTGCATAAAGATTTTGCTGGTATTAGAGAGATGCTGCAAATTTAAATTGGGCTGTCAAGGCACCTTATTGATAGTGACATGAGGGGGAAAGAAACAAATGGAGTGGTGGAGGATTCCGTAAGTTAGGGCCCTGGTCACAGTACGGATCTTGGCTTCTAATATAAATGAGATGCGGAACAATTAGAGGGGATGTCTAAGGATTTTGAGCAGGGATCACACATAATTCAAAATGTTCCTCAGGAACCCCATGAAGAACAGGAGTAAGCAGAAGCAGAAGAGGCTACTGAGGCTACTACAGGCATCTGCCCAGAGATGTGACTTAGACCCAGCAAACAGAATGGAAAGTGGAGTTGGGGACAAGTTGGCTTTTGAATGTGTTTTGCAGTTCAACACAAAACTCTTAATAACAGATTAGGTATGGGTTGTAAAGGAAGATGAATCTAAAAGACTAAGGTTTTGGGAGTTAGCAACTGCAAAGGTGGAGGAGCAAGTTGGGAAGAGAGATGTTTCAGGCTTTATGGTCAATTCTTGACACATCTGGAGAGTCACTGAGAAGGTGCCAACCTACAGACGTTTTTTAAAAGCCTTGAGATTACCTGGGGAGTGGGCAGAGAGAATCTCAGACAGCAAGATGAGGAGCAGCTGGCTACCAAATCTGAGCAGGAGCCAAGAGAGTGACATCTTGGCAGCCTGGCCAAGACCTTTTAAGAGCAAGCACCTACCATTTTTTAAGCTGTAAAGAAAAAGGCAAGGGTAAAAGCCAAATGCTATTTTGAGGCCTGAAATAAAAATACTTGAAAGTGAGCCAGTTTCATGAAGTTTGGGCTTCCAGAGATAAATTCATAAAAAGCTTTGTAAGAGACAGGTGAAAGGAAAACATTTATACTAACAGAGCAAAGAGGAATATTGAGGGCACATTGTTCCCTTCTTGGAAAAAAAAGAATGCTCACCCCAGGAAAACTGACGAGAATTTACTGTGGGCCAAACAATTAAGAACATGAATTTATGATGCAAAGAAATCCCTTGCACACATTAAAGAGAAGACAGTGTCAGCTTCTTCCACATTCAGTCTATCGCCATCCCCATTTTAAAGATAAGGAAATGGTAAGAAAGGGTGACAGCTAAAAAGCAGTAGGGGCTTCTCTTTCTGAAGCTGCAGGAGAGGGCAACTTTGAGATCTTTAATTACAAGAGAGTGTCGGGCCAGGTACCAGTGGCTCACACTTGTAATCCTAGCTACTCAGGAGGCAGAGATCAGGAGGATCACTGTTTGAAGCTGGCTCATGTGGACCCTATCTTGAAAAAATCCAACACAAACAGGGCTGGAGGTATGGCTCAAGTGGTAAAGTGCCTGCTTAACAAGCATGAGGCCCTGATTTCAAACCTCAGTACTGCCAAAATAAATAAATAAGATGGGGCTGGGGATGTAGCTGAGTGATACGTCTAGCATGCACAATGTTCTGGGTTCAGTCCCCAAAACCAAATGAAAAAATAAAACAGTGGCTTTGAACTCAAACTGGAAAATAGGATAATTTGAGGAATTAGCAATCAGCCAAGGGAACTCTGGTTTAAACTATTTATAATAGTAATGATACAACAGCCCCCCCCCCTCCGCCCTTTACTATGGTTTAAACTACAACAGCCTCCTTCACCATGGCTGTCAATGATGGTCCAAAAATATCAAATGGAAAATTCCAGAAATAAACAATTGGTAAGTTTCAAGTAACTTTTATTATGGTATATTATTATAGTTGTCTATTATTAGTTATTAATATCAAGTGGAAAATTCCAGAAATAAACAATTGGTAAGTTTCAAGTAACTTTTATTATGGTATATTATTATAGTTGTCTATTATTAGTTATTATTGATAATCTCTTACTGTGCCTAATTTAGAAATTCAATTTTATCAGAGGTATGTAGGAATAGGAAAAAACAGTGCATTACAGGGTTTGGTACTATTCAGGGTTTTAGGCACCCACTGGGAGTTCTGCGAATATATTCTCTGAAAGGAGAGGGAGTACTGTAATCAACATCACAGTGTTAATCTTTGACAACACTGTGTATTAAGTCCTGTCACCCCCTCAGTGAGTGTTACCACTCTGATACTAGAGAACCCTGAGACTGAGGGAGGTTAAGTTCACAAGCCATGGATAGTTGGGAGGCAACACTTCCCTGAACTCACACAGGCAAACCATGACAGGTGGGACTCCAAGTCCCTGGCTTTCTCCAAGAGAAACAGAGAGATCAACTTGATACTTTAACTCCCCAAAGCAGGCCTGGCATAGTACAGTCTGAATTCAAGGTCACACTTTCCAGTCTTGCCCTGGTTTTGACATCTGTGGGTTTATTTCAACACTTCAGCCATTATGGAGAGAACTTTTCTCATTACATTGACATTTTTCTGGCCTTTTTTCCTTGGCACCATTCTTTAAGATGACTTGGGCCAGCCTGAGGACTTCCTCATACTGGCTTCACTAAGTTCTGAAAAAAAAAAAAAAATTCTTCACACAAGCATCTTCATTATCTCCAGCCCAGAAGAAGGGGCCTGGGTATCTGGAGAAGAATCTTGGTAAGGGGCTGAATCTAGCTCATTAAGACTCTGGACAAGTCACTCCCTCCCTCTGCCTCAGGGTCCTGAAGAAGTAAGTTCAAATTTTCCCAACTTGAGATGGGCACACCATAAGATGCAAAAGCATTCTAGCATTTGTGTGTGGGCAAATTTTTAATCTTATTATAATAAAAGCTAGTATAATAATTAATATTAATAATTTTATAATAAGATACAATTTTATCCTATAATTTTTATCATTATTTCATGGACATTAGAAAAACCACAGATCACATGAAACCCACAATTTCATGAATATTATTATTTAGATGAAGATAAATTTACTTAACAAAACATTGCAACTTTATTCTAAGAAAAGCATTCATAAATAATGTGAGTATAATATATAAGTGACTCACATATGACTGAAACCCAGCAAACATCAGACTAGGAAGTCATTAAAGGCCCTTACAGGGCTCAGGCTGTAGAGCCCCTGCCTACCAAGTAAGTGCAAAGCCTTGAGTTCAAACTCCAGTACCACCTTCCTCCCTTACATGTCTCACATTCTACAAGTAATAACAATGAGAACAGCGTGCTGTAATAAGAGGATACCATGATATACAATGTAGTGTAATAATACAATAATCCAGACATTTGAAATGAATGATTTTGTCTTCCTGCATAAATAATTTTTAAACCAGAGCAAACATCCCATTTTTCTCCTTGGTTGGTTGTTACTTTACTGATTGTTAATGATAACCACCATTTATTGAGCACTCACTGTGTGCCAAGAATTATGTTGAGTGCTTTTTACCTGTTTTCATTTTTTTTAAAAAGAACTTTATTTACAATATGCCTTTTTTTCTTAACCCTACTGGTGAGTGAACTTAGGGTCTTGTGCATGGTAGGCAAGGACTCTACCACTGAGCTACAACCCTAGCCCACAGCAGTCTCACTTAAAATTTTCACAGATGCCACAGCAGCACATGCCAGTAATCCTAGCACTCAGGAGGCTGAGGCAGGAGAATCTCAAGGTTTTTTTCTTTTTTGGTGGTATTGGGGTTTGAACTTAGGGCTTCACGCTTGCTAGGCAGGTACTCTACTGCTTGAGCCATGCATCCAGCCTGATAATCACAATTTTAAGGCCAGCCTGGGTTACATAGTGAGACCCTGTCTCAAAACAAACAAATAAAAATTTCAAAACCCTTTGGGTTAGGTATCTTAGCCACATTTCATAAATGAGGAAATAAGAGGTAGATGTTAACTGACTATCCAAGGTCAGACAGCTAATAAATGGCAGAATCAAGGTTTGAAGTAGTAGTCTGTGATCAAACACCTATTCTCTTAACCATAATGCAGTAATAACCACTCTGAGTAAAGTTTGAGGTCACTTAACACAGCTTGTCCCTTCCCTGGACCCTTTTAATAGTCAAAATCTTCTTTTTGGTACAAAATGTAAAACACAACTGTATACTCTAGCTCCTTGCTATAGAAGTGGGGTCCATAGACCAGCTACATCAGCATCACTGGGGAAGTGTTAAATGCCAAATCTAAAGTCCCACCCCAGATTTCCTCAAGCAGACTTTTTACTTCAGGCTGGGGGTGTAGTTCAGTAATGCAGCACTTACCTAGCATGCACAAGCTCTGAGTTTGATCCCCCGCATTGCAAAGACAGATAAGAAAATCTTCAATTTAACAAGATTAAAAATTAAGCACAATAGTGGTGCACATCTTTGATCCCTGCTACTCAGGAAGCTGAGACAAGAGGATCATAAGTTCAAGGCCAGCCTAGGCACTACAGTGAGACTCCCATTTCAAAAAAAATTTAAGCAACTTGATCTAGAAGAGAGAACAGCTGCTCCTGGATAAAGCAGATATAAAAGGTAAAGAGGCTAAGACCATATGCACAAAAACTCAGAGATGAGAAAGAGTTGGGTCAGTTTGAAGCTGGCAAAGGACTGATGGGTGCTGAGGAGTTAGAAATGAAGCCAGAATCACATGAGGTCAAGTGAGCTTTGAATGCCAGGCTTAGAAGCTGAGAATTCATCTTGAGGAAACAAAACCACTACAGGGTTCGTCAGGAGAAACAAGTGTGGATGTGTGCAGAAAAATCTTCTCTACTCCTGAAAGGTAAGTTGGATTTTAATAATCAGAGAATACTCCAGCCCTTGAGTGTAGCATAACTAAAGTCTATCTGGACAGTGACTGGCCATGGGACTGGGTGACAGCTAACAGTCACAGAATGTCAGCACTCTTTTTTCTTTCTCTCTTTTTTTTTTTTTTGAGACAGGGTCTCGTGGTGTAGCCCAAGCTGGCCTGGAACTCACAATCCTCCTGCTTCAGCCTCCCAACTGCTGTGATTATAGGCATGTGCCACCATACCTCACTGGAAGACACTTTTGAGATCACTGATTTATATAGAAAGAAATAAAGTGCTGGAAGGATGCTCAGCAAATTATTCAACAATCTTGTGATCAGAGTACTGACCAGTTCCTCAGATGACATTTCTCAGATTGACATTCAAGGATCTTCCATCATTGTTCCATTTTACAGATGAGAAAGCTGAGGCAAAAATCAGTGAATGGTACAGCTAGGATTTGACTGCTATATGATACCAGTTACAGTCTGGTCAGTACCTTTCCTGACTTTCATGCCAAACCTTCGTCCTAACCCCCAGCTCCAGCTGGTCTAATCAAAGCTTCCAAATAGCCCCTTTTCTCCATTGCTGCTTCCACTTCAGAGCAGGTCACCAGCCTTACATGGCCTGGTATCCCCAAAGCAGCCAATGGTTCTTGTGAATAGAAAATCCAGTCACATCCCTTCCCCTGATTAGGCTTCCCATGGCACCACATGACCTAACAGTGCATGCATGTAACCCCCCTGGCTTACTTCAAGGCCCAAGATGAGACCTTTCTTGCCTCACCTTCTCAGAGCCTTTGCCTTTGGTTTCCTCCTCCTAGAATGTCCTCCCTTCCCTTCCATCTGTCAGTCCCCCTAAGGCTTCAGTGCCCACACCAAACATTATCTATGGGAAGACTTTCCCACAGACTTCCCCCACTAGCTTGCCTTCAGTCTTCTGTCTAGGCCTCCATGTTGGTTTCTCTGTTCATCCCTAGGCCCCAGGGTTCACCCCAGAAAAGACCTTTGAGAAAAACAGGTTGGAAATTCTCTAGAAGGATGACTTGGCTCAAAGTCCTGAACTTTAGGGAAAATATTAAAAATAGTAACTATTTACATAACACTCATGTGCCAGACAGTTCTAACTCTATACATATTCACTCATCCCTGCACCTTCAAGAAGTAGGTGCTATGATTTCTTTTCCTTCCTTTGTGTGTGTGTGTGTGTGTGTGTGTGTGTGTATGTGTGTGTGACAGGGTCTCACTCTGTAGCCCTGGCTGGCCTTGAACTCTCAATTCTTCCACCTCAACCTCCTGAGTGCTTCCCAGCTTCCCTTTTATAAATGAGAAAACTGAGGCATAAAAGAGGTTAAGAAAGTTGCCCAAAGTCACACAGTTGGTATATGATGGAGGCTGAAGTCCATTCTAAGCTCTAGAGCCTGTGTACTTAACATACTGTTCAGAATTGGTGATCAAGGGACCCACAAGGCTGAGGACTGAGCTTAACTAGGATGTTGGATAAAGAATCTGAGAAAACAGAATCACGCAGTTACTTACACTAAAGAGACCTAAGGAGCCAGCTCCCACCCCTTAGGAACCACCATGGCCACTAGGGGGCATCAGAACTTTCTTTCCCTGGGAATTGGGCCCTGAAACATCCAGAGCAGGAGCAGACCTTGGGCTACTCAGACTAGGGACAGTCCTGTGCAGCTCTTGGAAATGGAAACATACGTGATGGCAGATGAAGTGTGGAATGGAGGACTCCAACTCATTCTGATGACCTTAAAGCCTTCAGATAATCTCAGGATAAAATCCAGACCCTGTGTGGCCTGCCCATCAACTAATTCCTTACCCATGCTACACATGATAGAACCACCTGCCCTTCAAACTCCACCAGAGCCTCTGAGGGTCTAAAAGAATCATTCCCTCTGCCTAGGGCTGTCTTCTCACTTCAGTCCTCAGATTCCTACTGGTCTCAGACAAGCCATCCTTTACTAACTTTGAGATCTTGGGCCAGTAACCAAACTGTCCTGAGCCTCAGTTTCTTCACCTGTAAAATGGAGTACCACTACCTACTACCACTACCTACATCATAGAATGGAGGACTTAGAATAGCATCTGGCACACACAGGAAAACTATCTGAAAGTTAGCCATTGTTACTGTTGCCTAACCTGACCTCCCCAACACTTGTGTCTGAATCAAGTTCCCACCTCTGGTCTTTGCCACCCCCGTGTGCCTGCACCCATCACCCAGGCTTGTGATTGCATAGTTTATTGGTAGACGACAAGCCATGGAGATCAAAGGCAAGAGTTTTCTCTCCATCACCGAGCACAGTTTGGCACACACAGTAAGACAGACATCTGTACGATGGAAGCTGGGCCAGTGGGCAGAAGGATCAGCCAGCCCTTAGATTCTAGGTCTGAGATTCAGGGGAGGGTATTAGGGACAGAATTCCTGGCTTCTGTCTGAGGGAGGCTGAGCCTGAACCAGGTTTAGGGGCGGTAGGCCCCAGGGTGTGTGTGACACGTACCTCCTTGTTGTCCATAGGGATCTTGAGTTTCACCACCTCATACTTCTCCTCACCCTCCTCCTCCTCACCCTTCACCAGCAGCACCATCTCCTCCTGCATCTCTTCCTCCTCCTCCTCCTCTGCCTGCTGTTCGCCAGGCATCTTGGTGTCCTGAGGCGGGGAGCTGGATCAGAGGCTCAGGACCCGCCCCCTCCGTGGCCCTGGCCCAGGCAAGGCGGTTTAGCAGTGGCTTCTCCCGCCCTGCCTTGATCTCCGAGTGTGGCCCTCTCCCGTCCACCCCAGTCCAGCCCCACGCTCTGGCGCGGCCCAGGGAACAGCTCTGGGGACACCGTTCACCCCCACTCATCCCGGCATTCAAGGCCCAGGACAGTTCGAATCTCCAGCCCCCACAAGTCGCCACCCTCCCCACGCTGAGTCACTCCCCGAAGCCTGGGTCGGCGACCCGGAGCGCTAGGGGACTGGCTGGAGGCGGGATGGGGCGGAGACCCTGTGGAGGGGTGCGCACTCACCAGCCGAAGGTTCAGCGCTCGCGCTGCCCCAGGCCTGGGCGCGGGGCGGTTGGGTACACGGCGAGGCCGCGGCTCCGGGGGCGGGGCTCAAGGGGCGATCGTTCATTTGCCCGGACGCCTAACCCCGCCCCTAGGGGAGGAGCCCAGAGGACCCAAGCATCTGGCCCAAGCCGCCTGGGGAGAGCGCGAACCCAGTCCCGGCGCCCTCCGCCATCCCCCCAACTCTTAAGGACCTCCAGGAATCTGCCCCAGCCCGGCGGTCAAGGTCCTTGCAGCTGAGTTGTAACCTACCTTTACGGCCAGTCTCCCGTGGCTGCTGCGAGGTCTACTTTGCGGCCAAGCGCATCTGCTCCGCCCAAAATAGGCCACGTGCGCTCCCGCCCCAGCCTGGGCCTCTCGCTGGCGCCCCGCCTGGAGGGCGGACCCAGTTTCCTCCTCACCTCTCCCCTTCCCTCTTTTTAACGCCTGTTTTCTCCTTCCTCCCGTTGCCATCCCAACCTCCTGGTCTGTGAGATACTTGCACATTCCTTGCCCAAATCAACAGCCACCCACGCTCCTGCTGTCGTTTATTGTGTCGGTGTACCTACTATGCACCAGTTGTGCTAAGCGTTTTGCACACTCGGTCTCATTTGATGTGCACGAGGATGGCCATTGTTCATTTTATAGATGATCCAAATGAGGTCTGGCTTGAGTGGCTCAAGTGGTAGAGCGCCTATCTAGTAATGAAGGCCCCGAGGGAAGGGCCTTTTTCCCGCCAAAAAGAAAGCCACCTCCTTCCCCCCCACCCCCGCCGCCCAACCCCCAGTCCCGACAAAAAGTTTCAAAACAGTAGAGAAAACTTTTACAAACTTTAACATTTAGAAATTGGGGGTCTAGGGGAGTGGCTCAAGCGGTAAGAGCGCCTGCCTGGCAAGCATGAGGTCCTGAGTTCAAACTTCAGCACTGACAAAAAAAAAAAAAATCAAGGCATGGAACTTAAACAGATGCCTAATTCTCCCATTTTATGAATGAGGCAACTTAAGATTCAAAAAAGACAAAAAAAAAAATAGCATGCAATTTTTACAACAGCCCTGTTGGGGATCAATAAATACCATCTCCATTTGACAAATGAGAAAACTCAACCTTACAGACATAAAGTCATTTGCTCAACGTCTCACAGCTGGCAAGCAGCAGATTCCAAGCCCATGTGCTTCTATTGCACAAAATTCTCTCTCAGGAACGAAGTTACACAACAAAATTGGTGACAGAGCCAAGACTCAAACCTGAGCCTCCATCTGCAGAGCCCAGGGTTCAATTTGTTGATTTGATTGCATCTACTCAAATTTTAGCTCTTCCTCAGTGCAAATACCTGGATATTCACACACAAGATCTCCGAAAGCCACCTATGACTGTGTCCATTCTGTAGTCAAGTACCTATGGAGCCCTGCTATGTGACAGGCATCGTTTTAGGCATTGGAGATGCAGTAATGAACATAACAGAAAATCTTGGAGCCTGTGGTGCTTAGAAGGGTATGAGAAACGTAAAGCAGTGACTGGAGTATAGTTCCATGGTAGAACGCTTGCCTACGTGTGTGAGACTTGGGGTTCCATCCCCAGCATTGCAAAAATAAATAAATAAATATGATAATTTGACATGATCATCCAGTATGAAGTGGCTACAGTTGGGGGTTTTCTTTAGTGTGGGCAGGAAAGGCATCTCTGAAGAAATAATATTTGAGATGAACCTGGAATGATGAGAAAGAACCATTTAAAAATCTGGAAGAAGAGTGTTTGAGATAGAATTGCAGAGGCCTTGAAGCATAAACATGGCATGTTTAAGAAGGGTGTTGTGGCCAGGCACCAGTGGCTCACACCTGTAATCATACTTGGGAGGCTTAGATAGAGAGGATTGTGGTTTGAGGCCAACCCAGGCAAATAGCTCTCAAGACCCCATTTCCAAAATAACCACATCACAAATGAACTGGAAGTGCAGCTCAAGCAGTAGAGTGCCTGCTTTGCAAGATCAAAGCCCTGAGTTCAAAACCTCATTCCTACCAAAAATTTTTTTTTAATATTGTGGCACACACCTGTAGTCCCAGTTGTTCAGGGAGTCAAGGCAGGAGGATCGCTTGAGCACAGGATTTAGAGGCTACCCTGGGCACCATATCAAAATTTAAAAAAAAAGAAAAAATCAGGTATAATGGCTCACACCTGTAATCCTAGCTACTTGAGAGGCTGAGATCAGAAGGATCACAGTTTGAGGACAGTCCCAAACAAAAGGTTTGAGAGACCCCATCTCAACCAAAAAAAGGTGCATGCACCTGTCAGCCCAGTTATACAGGAGGCATAAATAGAAGAATGGAGGTGCAGGCTGGCCTGGGCATAAAAGGGCTGGGGGTTTGGCTCAAGTGGTAGTACGCAAGTGCAGGTCCTGAGTTCAAACCCCAGTACAGTCAATAATAATAATAATAATAATAATAATAATAATAATGGAAAGAAAAAGTCGCATCTGGCATGCTTCAGGAACACAGAGAAGGCTTGTGTGGCTTGACCCAAGCAAGCTAGCCAGGGAAAATGGAGTAGGGAAGGTGCAGATGTGGACAGGGGCCAAATTATGGCTGGAACGCCCATCTCTAGCAAAAGCAAAGCTTGTTCACCCTGATCAGAGAGGATCAGTGAGAAGAGTCGCGGGCGGCCAGCCTCTGAGGGCAGTAAAAGTCCTTACTGGAGGAAGCAACCTGCGAGGGCTGGAGGCGTGGCTCAAGTGGTAGAGCACCTCCCTAGGAAACTCAAGGCCCTGAGTTCAAACCCCAGTACCGCTCACCCCCCATAAAAAACTTAAGAAGCATCCTACTGCTTGGAACAGGTAGCCAAGTGAAGAAGGGCCCCATGCATTTGTTCTACAAACATGTACAGGTATGTATTGCAATCACAAGCTAGAAAGTGAGTTCAAGGCCAGCCTGGACTACATAGCCAGGTTCCTGTTCTTGAGAATCTCATAGTCTACTAAGAAGATTGCATTGCCAGAATGGTGGCAGACACCTGTAATCCCACCACTGAGGAAGCTGAGACAGGAGTGGATGGAGAGTTTGAGGACAGCCTGGGCTACATCGCAAGACCATGTCTCAAAAAAAAAAAAAAGGAAGAAGATTGTGATTAAAAAAAAAAAAGTTAATATGCTGAACTGGGGGTGTGTAGCTCAGTAGTAGAGCATACACAAGGCCTTGGCTTCCACCCCCAGAAGTAAAAAGCCGTTATACACTATGAATCATTTATGTATACATGAAAAAGACAACAGGTATTCTGGCAGGAGAACAGTGGAGTAAACGCCTCCTTTAAGAGCATCGGACACTGGTGTAGGTCTCCCTGAAAACATGAAGGGCCTTGGAAAATGACAGGGAGCTTGCCAGATTGATAAGGAGGTTATGAAAAACAGATCATGTTTCAAGGACACCCTTCACAAATCGGTTAGTAAGGCCCATGGGTACCAAGCCCCGGTTAGACTGGAATAGAAAATTGAATTTGGGTCCACAGTCACGCTACCCTGAACATGCCTGATCTCCTCTGATCTCAGAAGCTAAGCAGGTTCAGGCCTGGTTAATATTGGATAGCAGAAAATTGAATTTGGTACTGGAAGGCTGAGGTAAGAAGATCTTTAGAGGCCAGTCTGGGCAACACACAGTGAGACCTGTCTCAAAAAACAAACAACAACAAAAAAAACCCAATAAAACTTTAAGGCCAGATACAGTAGCTCACTCCTAGCTACTTGGGAGGTAGAGATTGGAGAATGGGGTCCAAGGCTGGCTTCTGGCAAAAATGTAACTCTACCTGAAAAATAAGCCAAAAAAAAGGAGGTGGGGTGGGAGTAGGGGTATAGTTTAAATGATAGAGCACGTGCCTAGTAAGAGTAAGGCCTGAAGTTCAAACCCCAGTACTGCCCAAAGGAAAAAAAAATTGAGTTAGCAAAAGTTGTTATCTTGTTCTTAGTACTCTGCCTTTCACTATTTGCCTTAAGCCTCACTAGAACTTTACTTCCCTTCTCGAATCCTTGAGGACTTGGAGCACACTCTTAATTCTGTCCCAAACACTCCATCTCCCATTCCATTTCATTCATTCATTCATTCATCTATTTTTGAGAGACCAGGGGATTGCTATGTTGCCCAGGCTGGCCTGAAATTCTTGGGCTGTAGGGATCCTACTGTTGTCTCAGCCTCCCCAGTAGCTGGGATCGCAGGTGGAGGCTGCCTCGGAACCAAGGATGAGTGCACATGCGCTGGGAATCAAACCCAGGGACTGGTACATGCTGTACTACTGAGCTCCATCCTTATCCCTGGACACAAAATTTAAAAGGCACAGAGCAAGCTGGAGATATTGGTGCACACTGTAATTCCAGCACTTTGAGGCTGAGGCAGAAGGATCTCCAGTTCGGGGCTAACCTAAGCTCTATAGTGAATTCAAGGGCAGCCTGAACTGTATATAGCCAGACCCTGTCAAAAAAAACAAAAACAAGCAAAGGCCACAGAGCTAAAACCACATAAGTGGAAGGTCTTGAATGCCAACTAGAAGTTAAGCTTTACAGAGAGGTCCCAAGAAGACATGGTAAAGTTTTCAAGGAAAGAGTGACATGGCCAGATGTAATTTTACAAAATTCACTGAGGTCAGCCTGGAGGCATAACCGAGAGGAAAAGGAGACAGCTAAAGGAGCAAGAAGGATCTTCCCAAAGCCCCAAAAGGGCTCCACTCAGGCCAACCGGTGACCTGTGCGCTTATGGGGGTGGGGAAGTGGCCAAGAACCCCAGTCCTGAACGGAAAGGTCTAGGGTCTCAGCGGGTAGCCTACTTGGCAGGGTGAGAAGATCGGCAGGAAAAGCACGGTAGCAAGCTTTCATTGGTTTCTAGGGAAGCAGTCGGTGGCGAAGATATCGCGTGAACTTCTACCCAGGACCATTTCTGAACGACCTTCAGCCAAGACCACGGGACTGGCGAACTTGCAAAGCAATCAAGTACTTTAGCATCGCTTAGCTGGGCGAACGGGCCTGACGTTTTTGTCCCCGACCAATCAAGACGGCTCCTCTTCCACCTCCCACCCTCTCTCCCTATTGGCGCTCGCCTCGGAACTAGCTGTGAATCGAGACCTGATCCCTAGCGCCTGGGCGCTGGGCAGTGCAGTCGCCGTTGGCAGGGGGATAAAGAAGCATCACCGTTACCCTCTCTTTGGGCTGAGAAGCTTGATGACTTGTTTCTCGATACATAAAAAAGGGCCTTAAGGAGGCGGGTTTCCCAGTGTCCCTGAGGACGATGCCTCCGTGTTGGGATGTACCATGCAGCCGTCCCCTTCCCTGTCGTGTGCCCAACCTCCGAGGCAACAGGCATTTTTCCTTTTAAGGGTGGCGCTCCAGACGTGGCGGTAGGTGGTGCCCGGGGGTATCAGTTGATGGACCTGGTAGCCGTTTTCAAACCAGATATTGGAGCTAGGAAGTGGCTATGTCAAGAGAACCTCAGTGGGCCGAGAGAGCAAGGCACCTACACTGCTTGTACGTGGCTTCAGGGCTTCGCCCATCAAACTCACTTTCTACCTTTTCATTCCTTGCCTGGTGCTTTCACACACATTCGCCCTTACACACACACCTACAACAGAATCCAAGCCTTAGACAAGGAACAGTTTATTAGTAAGGAGACATGTAGCAATGTGGCTGTTAGACCTTGGAGCTTCCTTGACCTCTCCTCATTCCTGTCCTACCCTTGCCTAGCCAGCTGGTCTCTGCTGATGTCCACCAAGACCTGGGCGTGCCATCTATCCTGGATGTCATGAGTGCTCCTACTATCTCTAGCTCTGTCCAAGAGTGCCCTTCCTAGCTAAAGCTGTATCTGGTGGCCAGAGGTTAGGGGTGGGGATTTCCTACCACACAGCAATACTTTCCTCATGAAAGTGATCAAGATGCTCTGGCCTCATTTTGACTCCTTAATTCCCAGAAGTCCCACTGCTGCACCTCAGTAGACCAGGTCTCCCAGGGTAAGGTCGAGAGGAGTCAGTTCTGAACAGACAAGAGGCAGCAGGAATTTAAGTTTAAGAGTCCTCAAATTAAGGCCCATTTCTAAATTTCATGGCAATGTTCTAGAAGGTGGAGTACAGCCCATACTAGCAAGGTCATAACACCTAGCTAGGACAGTTTCCCGAACGCCAGCATTATGGTCTCCAATCTCTATTTCTACCTATTCACTCCTTTCTCCCATTTCTTCCCCTCCTTGTCCCTCCCACCACCTCCCAGGCCCTTTCTTCTCTGCTTCAGCAGCACCTCCCCTCCCTTTGGTCTCCTGGGCCTCCACCCTCCCTGGACCCCATCATTCTAGTCCTGCTGGTGGCTCCTCCTTGAGTGGCCTTGCCCGACCATCTGCTATGCCAAAGGGCCTCAGGACCAGGTGCCCACGCTGGTGCTTGATCCGGGCAGAGCTGTCACCAAAACCCTTGCCACATTCCGCACACTTGTATGGCTTCTCCCCAGTGTGCGTGCGCCTGTGTTTCACCAGATCTGAGCTCCGGGGAAATTCCTTCCCACAGAAGCCACACACGTGTGGTTGGCTGGGTCCAGAGGGCTGGGCCCGGACTCGGGGTCGCGGGGCTGTGGGTGCTGGACCAGGTGGGTTATGTGGACGCAGGAGAGTAGACGGTGGTAGTGGCCGGGTGCGTTCACCACGATGGGTACGAAGGTGCTTGACTCGGGCAGAGCTGTCAGCAAATCCCTTGCCGCATTCAGGACAGAGGTAGGGTTTCTCCCCTGTGTGCACACGATGGTGTTTCACCAGGTCGGAGCTTCGGCGGAAACCCTTGCCACACTCAGGACACTTGTGGGGCTTGTCTCCTGCCAGTGGTGGGGGTGGCTCCCCAGCCTGTGGGCCCCCAGGCTCTGGCTCCAAGCCAGACAGACCAAAAGGCCCATCACCTGAGTGTGAAGGGCTTCGAGGTGTCAGTGAGGGGCTGGTGCCAAGAGGAGGTGGAGGCGGGCTGGGGAGCAAGGGAGTTACAGGGTAGCCTGGGAAGCTGAAGTCCTGGGGCTCCATGTGAGTGAGACGGTGGCGAAGAAGGGTGGAGCTGAGGCTGAAGGTACGATCACATTCTGGGCACGCATGAGGCCTCTCGCCACTGTGGGTGCGGAGGTGCTTGACCCGGGCGGAGCTGTCAGCAAAGCCCTTGCCACACTCAGGGCACAGGTAGGGCTTCTCACCTGTGTGTACCCGCAGGTGCTTCACAAGATCAGAGCCCCGGGCAAACTCCTTCCCGCACACATCACAGCCAAAGGGTTTGGGCCCCAGGTGACTGCGCTGATGGCTCAGAAGGCTACAGCTAAGCACAAACCTCTTGCCACAATCAGTGCAGATATATGGCTTTTCCTGGGCCTTGGGTCCCTGTGTAGTGGCTGTGGCTGCCCGAGATGGCTGTCTTCGGGGTACCACTGGCCGGGGGGGCTGCTCCCCTCGGTGTGTCCGCTGGTGTTTTATTCGGGCAGAACTGTCACCAAAGCCCTTGCCACAGATGCCACACTTGTAGGGCTTCTCACCCGTGTGTGTCCGCTGGTGTTTCACCAGGTCAGAACTCTGCCGGAAGCTTTTGCCACATTCACCGCAGATAGTGGGGCGCTCACCAGCAGGGATCCGGGGCCGAGGAATCTTTGCAGGACCTTGGGCTGGTGGCCGGGCTCTGTAGGGCTTCTCACCACTGTGAGTTCGCTGGTGTTTGATGCGGGCTGAGCTATCCCCAAATCCCTTGCCGCAGACCCCACATTTATAAGGTTTCTCCCCTGTGTGAGTCCGCTGGTGTTTTACCAGATCAGACATCTGCCGGAAGCTCTTGCCACACTCACCACACACTGCTGCCCGGTCACTACTAGCCTGGCCCCAGCGTGGTTCTCCCGGGCCCCGAGGGCCTCGGTGTGGAGGCTGAGACTTTGCTAGCCCCTCTCTGTGGACCCATAAGTCATCCCAGCTCTGGATCCCTTCAGGTTTGAGAGAGGCATTTCCTACTTCATGACCTGGGGCCAAATCTTCCTCTTCCTTGAACCCCAAGTCATCCTCCTGTGGGGTCTGCTCAAATTCATCCGGCTGAGAAACCTCCACATTCTCACTCCCTAGACCTGGGAAAGAAAAGGGAGTTGTAGAACTCGGGGATCTACCACTGAGCTACACTTTTTCAGCCCCCAGCCCCATCTTTGATAGTGACCTCCCCAGTAAGAATAATGTCCTTTTACTATGCCTTTAATATATGCCAGTCACTAAACAATTGTGGATCCTCAAAATCTTAGAAGATAGCACTATTATTATTGCAATTACCATTGTAATTGCTGTTACAATCATGGAGATGCAGGAATTTGTCATTTGCTCAAGGTTCTAAAAGTTAGGATGTAGCAAAGTCAGGTTTGGAACTCAATCCTGTGTTACCCACTATATTGTATGTCTTCATTTGGAAAACCTGTATGTGCTTTTTCTACTCTGTCTTCCTATATTAGCCTGTTCTGTAATGCATCATTTCAGTCATCCTGTGTGCACTCAGAACCTTCCCTCCAGATGCTTAGGGTGGTAGGAGAGATAAGATAAAGCATCAATAATTGTAATTACAGGTTAGGAACAACTGTGATGTCACAAGAAAGCTAGGAGAAAGGAGAGAGAGGCAGGCTTTTGCAGCAAAAAGGAAATCACGGAGAGGAATGGAAGAAAAAGCTGGAAAAAGATGTTGGGACTAGTCTAAGCATGCAAAGTTTGAAATAAATGCTAGGCTAAGTAAGGCTTTTTAATGAGACAGGGGAGAGCTAGGGAAGGTTTTTGAGAAGAGAGACAGGATTAGATCTGGACTTAGATCAATCTGGCTGCAGAATGCATTGGAGAGAAAAGGGCAGAAGGGATTGCTTGACTGAAGAGAGTGAGGCCAGTAGGGCAGAGGCAGTGAGGATGGTGAAGACTTGTGGGGGAGGGGGGACAGTCCTGGAGAAGATGCTCCTCTCCGCCTGGCACACAGTAGGTGCTCAGAAGCGTTGGCTCCCTCCCTCGATGTTTGCTCCCCTCCCCCTCTCCCCAAGGAGGCAGTTTCCTGGATCTCGGTTGGCAGAGCTCAGCATTGGGGTTTCCCCCCAGCCATTACCTGTCAGGCGGCGCGCGGCCGCGGCCCTCACCTGTGCGGGCGCCTCTCAGCTGTTCCCTCTCCTCCGGGCCCCGGAGATCCGGGCCCCAGGGCTCAACAGTACGCTCCATCGCCGGCACGCAGCCCTGGGCAAGGGGACAGATATAATCCTGCGGTCACTCAGCCACGTGCGGCGCGCGGCGCCCTGCCGCTGCCCTCTGCCGGCCGGCGCGGGCACCGGGTAGCGTTGGGTCCCCGGTGCGGGGCGCGGCTCCTGGTGACCCTCGCCGGCCGCCCCCTGCACCTGCTGCTTCTCCGACCGCACACAGCCGCCCCCTCACCTCGTCTGCAGTCTCGGGCTCCGACACCCCGGCGCGGTCCGGAGCTTCTCAACGGGATGCGGATACCCGAGCCACCGCGGCTCGGGATGCGGGCTCCGCGCCAAACCCGGAGGGGGCCCGGCCCCAGACGTCCCGGGGGCGGCCGCGGGGGCGGGGACGGGAAGCGGAAGCGCTGGGCCGCACCGAGCCGCTCTAGGACCTGGGAGGAGCTGCCCGCCGTGGGCGCCGCCGCGTTTGCGGGAGCTCAGTGGCCCGCAGGCGTCTGCGTGCAGCCGATGGGGCGACTCTGAGCCGCGGACAGTGGCCCGAACTCGGTGGTATTAACCGTGTGCCTCCTGGGCTGCAGCTGGGTGATGAAGGTTCTTCCTAATTGTCCCGGTGTCTCGGGCCACCCGTGCCTACCTCCGGGTTTGGCTGGCAGCGCAAGCCACCCTGGCCGGAGAAAGACAAAGAAAGAGGGATCCAGAGATTGACCCAGGGAAAGGGGTGGGGGAGAGACTAAGGCAGACAAAGGGCGGCGGAGACCCCAGATGGGGCGGGGCGGGACACGGGAAACAAAGCCAGGCTGGTCCAGGCCGGGATAGGGTGGGGGCTGGGCTGGGGGAGACCGAGGCAGGCAGATGCAGTCAGACCTGCAGCCCCAACAGAGACTAGAACCACAGACTCACAAAGTCCTAAGTAAGAGCCCTGAGTTAGAAAGGATGCGCTGGCAGAAAGATGATGCACAGTAGCCGACCAAAATTACAGGAGCAAAAGGCTGGCCTCCAGAGACAAAGGGATGTAGAAACATACCAGATATAAAGTATCCGAAGCAGAGTCGGAGGGGCAATGAGCAAAAGAGACAGGAAGCCTGGAGAGAAACTAGCCCAGATGCAGAGGAACAAAAGACCATTGTCAGTAAAACAGAGACAAAGAGACAGAGACACAAAGAGGATGTCAGATGAGGAACAGGTTGATAGCCTTACAAAGGCCAAGCCAAGGGATAAATGACAAATTAAACCCTGTTTCCATCTTGGTGGGGCCTTGGCTGGGGCTATGTCCCAGGGGATCCAGGTCCAGGAAGCATGATCCCAGTATCTTGTACTCCAGGCAGGCTTGCCTTTGCCTAGGGGGGTACTGGAAGTGTGGCAGGAAGGCAGGGAGGGAGAAGAGAAATAATGAAAGCTAATGAGAGAGATTGAAAGATAATGAGTGCAACAGTGAAACAGAAAAAACTGGTTTTGAGGAATGTCACATGGGATGAGACCAGAGAAGGGTCACCTTGCCCCAGAGGTTAAAATGGCCAATGAAGTAGTATGTGACCATGTATTGGATGGGCTGTACCCCCATTTCTGTATCCTGCTCTAAATGTTATATAAGGAAAGCCCCCTTTGTTCTTGGGACTCAGCCTTTGGATGTGAATCTGCTAAGTTCCTGCCAGCCTGCTTAATAAACTTGCTTCCTGAAAGCTTTGGTGCCCTGTCTCTCTGTCTGAGCTGTCCTGCAATATTCTGGGGGCTTGTGTGTCAGGGATTCAGAGGTGGTGTTTTCACCTCCTTGCCGCTGACTCAGGGCTGCCCCTTCCAGGCACCACCAGATGTGTTGATTCAAGGGGAGGAAGCCTCTTTCACGGTGAACCAAGGAGGTGAGTTTTGGTCACACAAAGGAACCTGGAAAGGCTGGGAACCAATTTGGGAGCCCAGTTCATCAGATGGGTAAGAACCTAGGTTCGAATTTAGGCCTGCCTTAGGAGGCAGAGGGAGTCTGATCAACTCCCAGAGACACCACAGTAACCCCATTTTGGGGTGAAACTGTGTCTTTCAGGTTCAGGGAGTGGGGTGGAAGTACTGTGCTGTGTGAGAGTGTGTGAAAGTGTTAGCCTGAGACACTGCCCAGTTATGAAGTGAGTGTGGAGTCCCGGTCCATGGTGAACTCATGTGGTCTATGGTGAGCCCTAACAGGGTCTCTAGTCCCAGATTTATAAGGACTCACTACAGCTAACAGACACCTAAGTCCCTGTGAGGGGAGATGGATGAAATGAGTGGTGTTATTTGTTTTCCTCTGTGTGCCAGAAAGGAGGACCCGTTACTTCCCCTCCACAACCCTTATCCCTTCCATTTCTGTCTCTGTCTTGACTTCTGATAACAGGAGGAGGTCAGAGTAAGAACACCCCCACTAGGGTGCATGCTTAAGAACTTTAAAGAGGGATTTAATGGAGATTATGGAGTTAAGCTGACTCCTGGCAAACTTAGGACCTTCTGTAAAATAGACTGGTCTGCTTTTGGTGTAGGATGGCTCTCGGAGGGGTCATTAGATAAGGTCATAGTCAGTAGAGTTTTTGAAGTGATTGTAGGGGATCCTGGATACCCAGCTCAGTTTCCTTATATTGATTGCTGGCAGGATATAGTTCTCAGTAAACCCATGTGACTAAATCCCCACCTAGGAGGAAACATGTAGGGTCATAGTAGCCAGGGTGGCAGCAGCTTCCAAGTATAGGGAAGAATGTAAAAAGCCAGAGAAACCCATATTAGTGGGACCCCGAGGAGACCTCCATCCCCTTATGTGCCACTGTACCCTCCTTTGCCATTGCCTTCCACCCCTTTGCCTCTACCCTTGGAAGGGGAAGCCCCAACAGCAAATATGCCTACAAGGCTGGGCCCAGGAATCCTTGAGACTGCAACAACCCCACCTTCCTCAGGCCCCATGAAACTCATGCTCACTCCAAGCCCACCAGTCCTCTAGGACTGTCCCCTAGGTCCAACCAGGACTCTGATGGCATGGCAGCCCTAAAGCTGAGAAGGCCCGAAGCCAAGATTCTAACTCTCACAGTTGCACAGAAGGAGGAATGGCAACTCTATGCCTCTAAGAAAGAGATTCCTGAGATGCCTGAGCTTCCCTTTAAGATTCCAGGAATATGGTTTGAGGACAACCCCCTGGACTGGCTTGGAGCATACCTCCGGTTGTGGTAGAATTAAAGCCGGGAGCTATTCCTGTTAGCCAGAGGCAATACTACATTCCTCACAAGGCCCAAATTGGGATCCAACACAATCTTGACAAACTCCTAAAGTATGGGATCCTTTGGCCTTGCCAGTCTCCCTGGAACACTCCCTTACTGCCTGTCCAAAAACCAGAGACTGAAGACTTTAGGCCAGTTCCGGACCTCCATGCAGTCCATTCAACAACTATTCCTTTAAATCCTGTGGTCCCAAACCTGTACATGCTTTTGGGCCTTATCCCAGCTGAGGCAAAGTTCTTTCCTGCCTGGACCTTAAGGACATTTTTGTGCATCCGCCTGGCTCCACAGAGCCAACCCATCTTTGCCTTCAATAGGAAAATCCTAGTACTGGAGAGGAGGGACAATTGACTTGGACTCAGTTGCCATAAGGCTTCAAAAACTCTCCCACTATCTTTGGGACTGCCTTGGTGTCCAACTGAAAGGCTTTCTCAGCCAACCAGCATAGCTACACATTCCTCCAGTACGTAGATGACCTTCTTTGGCTGGACCAACTCAGGAAGATTGTATGGAAGGAACTTGCCTTCTTCTCTCCCTTTTGTGGAAGGCAGGATATAAGATTTCCAAAAAGAAAGTTCAGTTTTCCCAGGATACTGTCAAATACCTCAGGTTTCACCTGTCATAAGGACAGTGTAGACTGGGCCCTGAGAGGAAACAGGCTGTCTGTTCCATTCCAGACCCCAAGACCTGTTGACAGATTAGAGAATTTCTAGGGGCTGCAGGTTTCTGCCAAATCTGGATCCCCAATTACTCTCTCTTGGCAAAACCCCTTTATGAAGTCACAAAGGAGGTAGAATGGGAACACATGGTATGGAGAGAGGAGCAAGAAAAGGTCTTTAAAGAAATTAAGAGGACATTCACAAATGTCCCTGCTCTAGGCTTGCCAGATGGGATGAAGCCTTCCTCCTATATGTACATGAGAGACTGGGGACAGCTGTAGGAGTCTTGACCCAGCTGCTAGGTTCCTGGCACTGCCCAGTGGCCTATTTGTCAAAGCAACTTGATGCAGTTTCCTGAGGCTGGCCACCCTGCCTGCATGCCCTGGTGGCCACTGCCATTTTGGTGGCTAAAGCAGACAAACTTACTTTGGGACAATAATTCACAGTCTGAGTTCCCCACTCTGTTTTGACTGTTATGGAATATAAAGGAAATTATTGGCTGACAAACTCCTGAATGGCCACATAGCAAAGCATTTTATGTGAAAACTTGTGTATCCAACTAAAGGTTGTTAAGACTCTAAACCCAGCCACTCTATTACCAGTTGATTCAGGCTCCCTGGAGCATGACTGTTTAGAGGTTATGGATGAGGTGTTCTCCAGCTGGCCAGACTTGACTGATCAGCTTATCAGTCATCCAAACATTGAGTATTTCACAGACGGCAGCAGCTTTGTTCAGGACGGCACACATTTTGCTGAAAATGCAGTAGTGACTCTGGATGCTGTCATTGAAGCACATCCGCCACTGGTGGGGACCTCTGCACAAAAAAGCCAAGCTCATTGCTCTCATGTGGGCACTCCAGCTTGCTGCAGGAGTGCAGGTAAACATATAAACAGAGTCTAAATATGCCTTTACTACCATTCATGTCCATGGAGCCCTATATAAAGAAAGGGGGCTCATTAACTCAGTAGGAAAAGGCATTAAGTATGGACAAGAAACTCTGGAATTGCTAGAAGCTGTATGGGCCCTTAAGTGAGTAGCAGTTATGCACTGCCAAGGGCACCAGAAGGGAGAGACAATAGCTGTTTGGGGAAACCGAAAAGCTGATAGGGAAACCAAGCAAGTAGCCCTCACAGGAGGACAAACCTCAGCCTCACTGAGAGCTTCCTTGTTCCTGTGCCCTTTATCTGAATGGGACCGAAGGTATACTTCACAAGAACAGGCTTGGTTTGAGACTGAAGGAGGAAGTTTCTTGCCAGGGAGGTGGTAGAAATTTGCTGACAGCCATATTGCAATTCCAGAGTCACTGGCTCCCATATTTGTGGATGGAGCAGTTCCATGAAGGAACTCACTCAGGGCAAACAACTCAGCATTTTTACATCCCCAAGCTCTCCATCATAAGTAAGACAGTATGTGAGAGGTGCAGTCTGTGTGCTGAAAACAAGGGCCAAGAGCGCCATCCCAAGTGCAAGGTGTTGGAGGAACTCCT